GTTGCAGGTTATTTACCTGTTCCATCTCCCTGCAGCCCATCATGTTGTAATAACTTGGTCATTGATAAGTACGCTTAGGTTATGTAGCAATTAAAAATACCACATTATCATAAATAGATGACATAATAGTTGTAATTCATATGAAACACATCTGAACAATGACGATCACCGACCTGGTGACCGAATTTCTTTCTCTAAGGAGGTCTTGAGCTGGTCGATCTGATTTTTTTCCGAAATCATAAAGTACCAATAACTTTTACACACTCTCCAGAATTTTCTCAACTATTCTGGTATAGGGTAAAACCTTTTCGTAGCTTCCACTATGTAATTATATAAGAAATAGGGCTGCACTACTAGTAACCTTCACCCTTACATCAAATGAATTTGTCGGGATCTGAAAAGGCTACACAAGCACAGGCTCGATAAAGGGAAGGAACCTGGGAAGTCAGAGCCAAATTCCCTAAGTCAAAGAGAGTAGATTGTAGTAGGAGGATGGAATCTCAGGAAGTTTCAGTCTGATCTGATCTGGCCCTTGATATCCCCTCGATGACTGTGCTATGTATCCCTGAGAGGGCCTTCTTTTGCACTTTCAGCGGCTTTTTTTGGCCTCGCTCCAAAAGTTCGACGGAGCGAAGCTTTGATTTTATGTTTTCTCTCTATTTGAGAGGCGAAAGCTTTTCTTTTCTGTTCTTATTATGGTCTTAACTTGTAACTAAATTTCGGTCTGAGCCGTTTTGTAAATACTGTTGGTGAAGCCATATGGATTCACTGAAGTAAGGTGCTGTCGCTCCCTGAAATCAGCTTACCACCAGGGCAATAACAGATAAGAGCGTTTTCGAGGGATGTAAAATGTAAGTTATTCGTGTTGACTTGCAGACCCTGACACTTCCTGACACCAATTTTTTTTCAACCCTTCATTGGTGAACTATCTTTCAGCTCGTAGACGGGCTTTACCGGTGGCACTCCCTTCGGTTCAAATGATAAACGACACCGTAAGTTGTAGCAACCTTACTTTTAATTATGTCCAAGTAGATTTTAACTTTCAGTTTGCTCCATTTTTCTGATCCACCAATTGTTTAGGTAACTCTTGTAATGCGCTATTTCATTAGTTCGTGCTGGGCTGTTACTCATTAGAGCAACTCTATCTATGGGCATCACAAGTTTGCTACTAGTACAACTACTTATCTGTCCTTGACCACTTTTTCCTCTGCCCACGAATGGCACCCAACCTCCTTGAAATCGAAGAAATTTCTGAAAATGATTTTTTTTGTGGCGTAGCTTATTTATGGACTCGGATGTTCGGCTTTCTCTTGAAGCGATTTCTCCCCTACATCTGTTTGGGTGATGGTCTTTAACTCTATTAAGTTGGCTACTGAATGACTGCACAATTTTCTTCCTGATTCTTAGAGTGATTTACACTTAGTAACCTTTTCCTGAGTTTTCCATGGTCAATATTCAGTCGAGTGAATATTTTTTCTGTGAAGGAAAAAGTAAACGTGTTTTCTTAAAATCAACGCGGCTACTCAGAAACTACCCTAATAATTGAGGATTATTTTACGTTCACTTCATGTAAGCTATTTTTGCTTCATATGTGACTACTTTTTTTATTATTTTCCTATACCATATTTCCAATTATTCTTTCTAGCCCTTTGGAGAGATCTTTCCTCCTTCCAATCATTACTATAACAAGTTTCTTGCCATATCATTATGATTAACTCTCATTTCACAATGATTAATTCTACCAACTACTTATTTCTTTGGTCGTCATATATTAAAGCAATGATACATCGAAGTAATAATAAGTCATTTGGTTTTTCAACAACCACTTCGCACTAATGACTCGGGAACTTGGGAAAAACAGGGTCAATGAAATGGGTTGAAATGAAAAAATAAAGTCGGCCTCTGGAGCAAAATTCTATTGAAATCACATTTATTTATCCTCCCATACTCTTATATTCAGTGATATTTTGCATTTACCATTCGTTATACAAGCTAGAAACACTTTCACTTCTCTTTAGAATATAAATGAAAGCCTAATTCGCGGCGCATCCCAAATAGAGTGGTGATTGGTCTAGCTCACTGCCGGTCTTCACTCAAGTATGGAATCTACCTACATATATAGTTGCAGTGCGGTTTTCAAAATAAACGAATTAACCAGAGAAAAAAGCACTATGGGTGGCCCCAAAAACTAAAGTAACGACCCCAAAAAAATGAAAAGAAACTCTGCCACAAAACCTCATCGCGAAGCCCGTTTAATTGCAAAAGGGCCGAATGACTGATTAATGATGGAACGAGATGACCGCA